TGGGGGAGGTGAAGCATGGTTGTTGCTCCTTACACTCTTGCTTTTTCTCCCATCAGGGTGGTGAGGCCTTGGATAAGCCAAGGATCGTGCTGTCCCAGTGCCTGCCCCAGCGGAGCAGCAGGATTTGGGAAGTCCAGAGCAGAGAGTGGAGCCAAGTGCGTGAGCTGCTTCGTTGAGGGAATCGCTCTGCATTGCAGCAGCTGAATCAGTGGAAATGCCGGTGCTGGTGCATGATCCCGGAGTCACGCCTCTGCTTCAGCCCCATGCAGAGAAGCACGCAGCTGGTGAGTCCCGCTCGTGTTGGAGGAGTGATTCAAGCCTTCCTTGTGCTTTGGGAATTGGTGACATGTGGCTGGTCCTGGTTTGTGGATGGCTGAGTTTGGAGGGTTATCTTTTTTCTTGCTGTAGTTTGGAAATTTCAGAGCACGCCCCTCACACCATGGGTTCCCCCCCCAAACCCACCGGCTGCCTTTCACCCCTCTTTTCACCTAGTTTTGGCTTTGCCATCTTTCACTCCTCCTCCCGCTCCCACCAAGCCCCAAGTTGCTGCAGGCTAATTAACTGGTTACAGTGTGATCTCACAAAAGAAACATTTATTTATGAAAATCCATTTGGACAAACCCAATAATCAGCGAGAGACCATTTTGGGGAGGAGGGTTGGACTTTACAGAGATGCTGCTATGGAATGACCTTCACGCAGAGTTCCTGTTGGCTGCCCCAAATACCCAACCCCATACATACATTGCATCCAATCTCGTCCCCTCGCTCCGCTCCTGGCCCCGGCTGTATCATATTGCACACGATCGGGAACCTTTTTGTCTGGGATGGAAAGTTGAGGGACAGAGACACCTGAGCATTGTCGCTCATCCTCAGCTGCTCTGGGGACTCACTGTCTGTTCTCTGAAATGCTGCGACTGCTGCGTTTAGCTGATGAGTTTGATTTAACTTCCAGCAGAGGTGGTGTTTTGGGTGGATGCAGCACAGGAAAAGGAGTTGTTTGCGTGTTAAACTTTGCGTTATAAGTGCTGTGTTAATTATTCAGCTGGAGACAGGTTTTTTGGGGCAGGATGGTGTGTTCAGTAGATTATGAACAGATTCTTGAAGCCTGAAAGGTGGGGTTTTTAAAAAAAATATTGTTTTAATGGTAAGCTAGGAGCGGTTGGGCTGGGCACTTTGGTTGTGTGATCTCACAGGAGGGCTCTGGCTAGGACACAACAAGCTAAAAAAAAACCAAAACGCGTCAGCCCTGCGGAAATACACGGCAAATAGCAGATACTCTGCTTCCATCCCGAGTCGCTACCTGTCGGCACACGTGGCATGCTCAGCTGGGCCAAGCACTGACTGCATCCCTCCAGAGACAGCAGGATAAAAATAAATGGTGGGCGGGCAGCCTTTTGCCTGTCTGCCGGCAGCCCCGTTACGAGCACTACAAACAATGGGGATTGGTACCGGCTGCTTTACTTTGACTTCTATGTTTGCAGCGCTGCCTGATTTTTCTGGCAAGGAAGCTCTTGCTTGGCTTTTGCTGGTTTTTGTTGTTTTGAGGTGGTGGGAGATAAATGGTTTCACATGAAACGGGATGTAAATGGTGTGTTTTGGAGCAATTGAGGAGACTTTGAGGTATGTAGGGATTTGCTGCTCCATGCTCCTGTTGGGAGCTAGGTGGGAAGAGCAACTTCTGGATGCCAGGAAGCAAAGCTGAGCTGAAAATCAATCCCTTGGGGGTAAGGAGATGGCTTCAGGCTGGGGTTTGGAGTTGGGAGCTCCTTCCTGCAATGGTTTTGGTGTGCAGCACTCTGTAATCAGGCTGAGGCAGCTCCCCGTAATGGCAATGGGAGTTATCCGTGTGCCTCCAAGGAGGAGGTGGCAAAGGGCTGTGTGCAGACCTGCTGAATGGTTTGCTCCACACGCTGTTATTTTGCATTCCAGAGAGCCGGGAAAGAGACAAAGAAAGTTGTCTCGCTTTGCAATTGAATTTCTTATCAGAGATCTGCAAGCAAACCAGGGAAACAGGCGCACTAAAGCAGGAAAAAGCCTCTGGATGACAGCTGACCTGTCTGAGAGGAGAGCTGGAAATAGTGCAGAGGCCGGGCTCACGGTGTCCCATCGCCACGCCTGGGCAGGGGCGTCTTGTTTTAGGCTTTTCAGTCTTCAAAAGAAGACTTCTCTGTGCCTTTTGCATGCACAGAGCATCCCAAGGTTGGTGAAAAAAGCTCGTGTTGCCCGATGTGTGTCATGCACGTGGACACGGACCTGAAAAGAGCCTCGTCCCTGTTTCTGCCTCCACTCATAAAATAACCTGCCACTTGGAAGGGGGGAAAGGAAAACAGGGGTTTGGGCGTGTTGTACCCATTTACAGAGAACATTTTGCTTTTCCTGCACTGGTCTCCATCTGTTGAATGATCCCTTAACGTGTTCCCATTAGCTCGGGTGTCCCAGGCCAGCTCTGCTGCGGTCGTTGGTGCTGTTTATAAGAGGTGGGATTTTTCCCACTTTATTTCAAGAGATAGTGTTCTACAAGATGCACAAGAAGCATTTCAGGCTGTAAACTCTCAGCTTGAATGGAAGTCTCATGCACGCCCTTGGGGTTATCCCGTTTCAAACTGAGCGTTTCTTGTGAGAAGACAGTTGTCGTTTTTCTGCACATCTCATGATTGCAGCATCCTTGGGGCATAAAACACGGAGGACAAAAGGGCAGCGTGGTTATATAGATATATATATATGTACACACACACAATTTTTTTTACTTATATTTTTTAAGGCTCACAACCTGACACAAACTCTTGTGCGTGGGGTGTATGGAGCAGGTTTTTGCTTGCCTTATCCATCTCTCTAGACCATTTGAAGATATTTGGTTTCATTGTAATTTGGAATTTGGGTTGGCAGCTGGGAGTAAATCGAATTTGGCACTGGTTTGTAGCACCTTCTCGTGTATTGGCAGTACAGCTCCTGGGGAGTTGGGGGGAAAAGTTTCCCAGTCCAACCCTTGTGCTAAAACCCTCGACATCACCCATCCCTTCGATCGCTGCTGCCTGGGGCTGGTGGTTTTTGGCCAAGCCAAATCCCCAGGCAGGCTCCCCCTTCTCCACACCGCGGGGCTGCAGGAGGCAGCAGCGAGGGAATATGTCTTAAGGCAGTGAGAATGGTGAGAAGTAGAAGTTTAAGCAGGAAAAAAAGAGCATATGACAGCGTGTGCAGGGAGCACGTGGCAGTCTGTAACATTGCGTAGTCGCAGCGGTCGGGAAGAGTGCGGAAGTGGCTGGAAGAGCTTCTCCTCACTGATGGCACTTGGCAGGGTTTTGGGTAAAAATGAAGATGATCATTCTTGTCAATCCTGTTTTGCAGCCGTTTTGCTGCTTTTGGATCCATCTATTTGCTCATTAATTTACTTTCTGCTGGAGTCATTGCTTAAATTTGTGCGTTTTTATCTCCAGGAACCGTCATTTATTAATGACCGGATCTTCCAAAAGCCAGTTTGGAGGCTGAGTAGTTGAAAAGCTCCAAAAGTAATCACTGCTTTACTTCTAGAAATTGACGTGTTCTCAGCAGCGTCTGGTGTTTGGCTGCTTTAAAATGAATGAGTTGTTTCCTTGCCCTCTGCAGATCTGTCACGCGTCTCCAACACTTCTGTCTGGCAGTGGGTCCGTTTTAGGAGTCTGATTGCTACACCAAAAGGGAGAGGTTGGACCAGCAGCAAGGAGCAGTCGATACAACCGCCCCCAAAATGCCCCCAAACTTGTGGGTTTGTTCCCAACAAGCCAAGTTTCCCCACTTCTCACTTTTTTTTCCCCTTTGAGTATATGTTCCTACATTTGCTGAGCGAAGGAGCCCTTGGTATGAACAGCCCCAGTAAAAATTATCTATCGCAACAGGACTAAAATATTAGATATATCCATGTACACGCTAAACTTAATGTTTTATGCAAAAGACAGGGGGATGAAAAGAGAAAAGTTTCCCTGATTAAAACAAAATCCAGAAATTGGAAATGAATCATTTCAACCCTCCTCTGAGTAAAAGATGTCTGAAAAATTCTTGTCTCCCTTCAAACCTTGTAGGCTGACAAAACTTTGTTTTTCTGACAGAAACCTGCCGTGCCTCTCTCTGTGCAGCTTTAGACATTTCCAGTTTGTGAATACATTTCAGTATGGTCAGTCTCTTCTTCTCCGGACCTCCCCAGGCTTCCAAAATCTATCCAGGAGATGTCACCTTGGGCCTTGTAGGAAATCACAGTGATTGCTTTTGGCGCATATGGTTATTTAACAGCAGCCAAAGTCTGGCTCAGTTCAGAAATCCTTTTCGAGAGCCCTGTTTCGATGAGCTGTGTTGCGGAGTGGCGACAGAAGGGCATCGTGCAGAGGGCTGTGGGTGCTGGAGATGGGATGTGCCGAAATGCCTGGATCTGAGCTGGAACGCCAGTGGACAGTGGTGCCCCATGGATGTACAGGCTCCTGAAGTTGAAACCAGCATTTTTTGCTGGATTTTTGAATTGAGTACCCCTCTGGATATTCAACTGGGAGTAACAAGGAGAATGAAATTAAAGGTGGGAGGAGGTAAGTGCAAGACCAGTTCATTTTCCTGTGGGGTGGGATGCACTGGGAGATCCCTGCTGCCTTGCAGAGAGCAGGGAAGCGCCTGCCAACGTTGCACTTACGGTTTAGGAGAAAAATCCTGCTTCTTCCCATTTCTGCATCCCATCCACCCACCCAGTATATGGTGGGTTGGACAGGCAGCGAGCAAGGCGGAGGCCAGGCAAACCTCCCTTGTGTTCGGACAGGAGTCACGGTGGAACGTGTGAAACTCATCCAAAGCTTTTGCTCTCGGGCTTGCCCAAGGATGGTGGGCAAGCAGCACAGCAAGAGATGGTAAAACAGCACGGAAGAAGGTTGGCACATCACAAACTGGGGGGGGACGTCGCTGGCTGGATTGAGTGCTGGAGCATCTCGGTGAGGGAAAGCGGATGGTGACATCCTTGTGAGCAGCTGATGGAGCTGAGGAGACACTTAGGTGAGCGTGTTGGAGTAGAAGCTGAAGCTTTCGGAGACTGTTTTGGAGTCGCTGCGGGAGGAGCCGTTGGAGGTCATGTCTACAGAGAGACGCTTGGCCTTGCTGCTCTCCTCCAGCTCCTCCTCGGCTGCGCCGACAGCTGAGGACACGGTGGTCTCTATCCGGCTGACCTTGTACATGCTGCTCTGGGTCTGCAGGTACCTGGCTGACTTCATTTCCAGGCCCTCGTACTCACCGGCGCTGACGAACGGGCACCACCGAAATGCGTGTTTGAACCCCACGCGAAACCTGGGGGACAGAAGAGATGGGGAGAGGCAGAGGTCAGGGACGTGGAGATGGCAAAGGACATCACTAGCAGTGCTTAGCTCTGTCTTCCCACTCCTAAACAACAACAAAAATGGTACTTTTCACTAAGTGGAGGAAAAAGACACTGATAAATCCCAATTAGGTGTCAGGACTGTTTTGATACCTGCCCTCAAATCCCCAGGGGCTTTAGCAAAGACTTATTTAGGTGGATATTTTATTGTCTGTGCATTGGCTGGAAGCAGCCCCGGGAAGAGTATGGTACAGGACCATCCCGGAAAAACTCTCCATCCAGACTCTCCTCCATCAGTCCCCTCTGTGTCTTCCTCCTCCCCTCTGTGTTGTACCAAGATGCTGCCAAAAATCACTGGAAACCCACCTGTCGTTGAGGCAGCAGTAGATGATGGGGTTGTACATGGTGGAGCTCATGGCCAGCCACATGATGGCCAGGTAGACCTGCTGGATGAACTTCTGCAGGTACCACTCGGGGCTGAAATACTGCAGGGTGAAGTAGATGTGGTAGGGCAGCCAGCACAGTGCAAACGTGCACACCACGATGATCATCATCTTCACCACCTGTGAGGAGAAGAGAGGGCAAGGAAGAAAAATCATCTGGTGAGGTGTCACCCTTCAGAAGGGGCCACCTCTTTCTGCCTTGAAAACCTTTCCAACCAGGAACACATCATCGACACCTTGGTTAAACCATGTGCGGTCTTGGAGTACGCTCTCTGCTCCATTAGCAAGAACCATGCAATCAGTCCCAACCTGTTTCCACCCCTAACGAAGTGGTTTTGTCTGTGGTTAGTTGGGATTGGCTGTGAATGATGGCTCCTGCTGTGCTGGAAGCTCCTTACCTTCCGCTTAGCTGAGACCTGCTCGTGGTAGCGGTCGGAGGAGTCGCCAGGAATCTCGCTTGCCCAGAGGGTGATGCCGACCACGGTGTAGGCACATCCTATCACCAGAAGTGGCAAGAAGTAGATCAGGATGGTCATGCAGAAGTGATACCTAGAAAAAATGAGGGTTGTTGAGTGCATCCTGTGCCTATTCCGTCTTTTTCTTGCAAACCAAGCTTGAAGGCAAAGTGCTTCACAGGGCCAAAGAGAATTTGGCACAATTTCTGCAGAGCTCGGGCTGGGAAGGACTCCCTGCTTTCACCCCAATCTTTTCCAAGCCTCTACTGCGGCCTTTGGCATCCTCACACCCTCTTGGGATGGGATGTGGAGGCCAGTGAAGAATTCATTACCTTCATAAGGCAAGGATGCTTTAGCTGGAGTGGTTCTACTCTCACTTCTACTCCATTTACACCCCAGATTATCTAGAGGTGAATGCTTGCTCTTATCACACCTTTTGTCTGGCAGCCTTGCAGAAGCAAATGTGGATTTTTGACATAAAGGATGGGAATGGGAAGCTGAAGAAATGAAGGCTTTCCCTGCGGGGTAAACACTGCGTCTGGGATGCAGCTCGCCTAGATCCTGAGTTCAGCTGGGCTCAGGGGGCACAAGGCATAACCCTGGTCCCCAAAACCCCAGCCTAAGCCCTTGTCATGGAGGTTTGTTAAAACTTTTCTGTGAATTCAGCGGTTGGGTCAGTTCTGCGAAGGGCAGGATCTTTGTGTCTATAACAGGTATGAATTAGTCCAAAATGGAGTGACAGGGTCTGGCTTGAGCTGTTAGCCCAGGTTTAAGACTGCTCTGTTGTGAAGCCGGTGGAGCCGCAGCCCATTGCAGTAGCCACTGGGGTTGCAGTGGGTTCAGTGAAGGATTTGTGTTCAATAGTAGCTGCTTTAAAAAAGAAAAAAAAAACAAAAAAAAAACCCGTTTTTTTTTTTTTTTAAATAGGATGGGGACGGATGGTTTGACCTTGCAGGTTCCTTCCTACCATCGTAGCCTGCAAAAACCTCTCTCCCCTGCAGGAGGGTGAGCGATGGTGGTACAGAAACGTGCCAACTTGCAAAGCCTCACACATGCTGCCAGGTCCAGAGGTAATTTTCTTCCCACAGCTTTAAGGTTTTTGCATGTGCTTTCGGGGTGCGTGCCCAGCTTGAACTCAAGGTGCTGCGTCTGTTCGAGGTGGTTCAGGTCTGTAGCCACACTCTGCTCTTGCACTAATCCTCCCAGGAGCTTTTGATTAGCTCCAAAGTGTAAGGAAGGGGTCAGGCTCGTGCCTGGTGCAAGTGCTGCAGGGAGTGGGATCGGCCCTGGCCTCATGCTGCCATGCTATCTCCTGCTTGTTTTGTACCTGCAGGCTCATTTGGCCTCCTCTTCACCCAGCGGTAATCGCATTTCAGCTGGATTTTGGAGGGCTGTTTTCTATTTTGCTAATTAAAGAGGCGTCTCTGTGGCTCCGACATGAAGATTTCCTCGTGGTTCCCGTGTCATGTAGGCTCTCAAACCAGCTGCAAACAGCCAGGAGCAGAAATGCCCCAGAGGAGCTGGGAGAGCACGTCAGCAAGTCGGACCCTGGGCACGGCAGGGGCAGGGATTTCCAGAGAGCCCTGACCTCAGCCCTGAGACAAGCCTGCGTTTTGTAATCCAAAGCTCTTCGGTCTGGGGATTGAGGGTCTTGCCCAGGCCAGAGGAGCCTGTAGCAGTGATGGGACAGTGACACTGGAGGAGGGGGCTGCCATCTCCTTTTGCCTTGCAAAGCCCAGATGGTCACCAGGGGCTGGCGTCTCCCAGAGGAGCCAGCGAGTGGAGTGGCTTTTCCCCTTCCCTTAACAAACCGAAATGGCAGCGAGTGAAATTGGAATAGATCAGACATCTATTTCAAAACCAAAAGCAGGAGAGGGGATCAGTGGTTAGCAGCTGCTGAATCGAACTGAGCTGAATCACCAGCTCCTGTTGCAGTGTCTCACCTGCGCTGAGGTATTTGCTTCCCCCCTTATGAACGGGCTGAGAACGGGCATGTTTCCCAGTGAAAAAGTCTCACTTGCACAACCCGGTCCCTGACACCCTCTGCATGCCGGGCTTGTGCTTTCTGAGCTCTGTTTGCCAAAAGAAAGGACTCCCTGGTGCTGGGAGAAGCCCCCCATTTTCACTATGAACCAGAATAAAAGATTATTTTTTCATCACAGCATTGCAAACAAGCCAACTGCTGCCGCCGCCTTCCTTAAATAACTGCGCCAAGGCCACGCGAGCAGGGCAGGGTGTTTACAATGACTCAACCACCTGTCTGCACAAAGTTATTTTCGGGCAGTAAAATAACCTCTCGGGCTCTGCTGGGCTCTGCATTGTGCGAGTGAGTTCGTGTGGTTTGGAGAGACACTGCTGAGCTGTAAGTTATTTTCAATCCCCACTGAATATTTGAGGTTTGACTCTTTGGAAGCTTCTCCTCAGCGTCTCCTTTCCTGCCCTCATCTGTCTGCAGAGCCCGTGGCTCACCGTAAAGCCGGGGGATGCTCAGGCTTTGAAGCATCACCCAGCTTCCAGCGGCAAATAATTCACAGGTTAATGGTGGCATTTTTCTCTCGAATTAGGCATTTGAAAAAGCGCCAGCCCCAGCCTACAGCCGGATGGCAAATGGTCTGTCACAGCCTGGCCCTGAGCTCGCGCTGGTTTGCTGCTTCGTTCCAAGGAGGGGGGCTCAGCCGCATCCCATCGCGTGGGCTGCCTAAGCCAGCGGTATTTCTGCACGCTGGTTGTATTTATCACGGTGTCCTGGAATAATTAAGGTTGGAAAACACCTTTGGAGATCAGCTGGGCCAGCCCTAGTTTAGTTCTTGCCATACCTGCCCTGCAAGGCAAAGAAATGTAATAAATTATACTGTCCAGCTGCCGCTTGCTGCTGACTGGAAACTCATTTCTCTTGCAGAGAGACCTTCGCCAGGCTCAGGTTGGCTTTAAACATCTCTCCGTGTCCCCTCCTTTGGCTGCAGCATCATTTCCCAGCCCTGATTCATGGATTCGTTGCTCCACGGGACTGGAGATCACAAAAGAATTTGTTTCCTTCCCTCCCTTTTTTTCATTAACACACAACTTTTAACTTGCCGTGTGACTCGCAGACTTCAAAGGGCAAACCACAGAGGACCGCTGCGCTGGCAGACCAGCGGCGTTGCCCGGACCCTTTTGGAAATGCCAGATTTAATTAGCCGGCACCTCAACAGGAAGGAAAGAGGTTCCTGCCGAGCCCTTGTAGCCCAGCGTTTGTCCTCCAGCCTGAGCTGATGCCACAGAACCTGCTTTTGTAGCTTGCTTGTAAAGCAGACAAGTGAATTTTGGGGCATTTGAACTTTGTAAATACCAAACTTTTTTTTTTTTTCCCACTGTTATTGCCTGGCCAAGATATTCCTAGAAAAAGCCTATTTACCTCTTGCAGGAATAACTCTCGCCCCAGGAAGCCTTTAGAGCTACGTGTTGCAGAAAAAATGCTGCAAAAACCAGAGCCAGACCTGCGGGTATGAATAAGCCCCTGGGGGCAACACAGACCCCATTCCTGCAGCCAAAATATTGTGTCTTAGCAGTTTTACAGATGTTTCCCTTGAGAATGAGCATCCCAGAAGGGCAGGGAGTGGACCACGAGCAGCAGTAAACTCACTTTAATTAACCTTAATGTGCCCCAAGATGATATGGACAGAGATTTTGCTACCGTCAACTCCGTAGCACTGTCCCTGGCTAGGGTAGGGGGAGGATTTCCCCATCCTGAGGAGCTTTGACCCATTCCCATCCTTCCTCGCTTCCTTTTTTTATATTTTTTTTTTCCATTTTTTCTGTATGGTGACTTGTCCCTACTCCTGGAAAAGTTCAACTCACGTTTTTCCGTACACGTTGGTGCTGTGCTCCGGCCATTCCACCAGACACACCAGCCGCCCCGGCAGCTCCTCCGTCACCGAGTAGTAGCCCTGGGGGAACGCCAGCAGGAAAGCCAGGAGCCAGATGACGCCGATGACCACCTTGGTGGCGGTGGCCGAGAGCCGGGGCTGCAGTGGGTGGATGATGGCCATGTACCTGCAGGGTGGGAAAAGGGGAAATCAAGGCTGGAAAGCCCCAGTGTTGCACTTTTTGGGGCTGTTTTACGTCTCCCTTGCACGGGGTCGTACTTTTGACGCCCCCTTACTGCATCCTGGCAGCCCCTCACTCTGCACCGTGCAAACTGCATCAAATAATTCCTTTACGGAGGATTCCCTGGCCAATATTCTAATTCTCTTGCAGCATCTTACCCTCGAGATCTGAATCCCATTTGCCACACTCATTGATTTTTAGCTGAAAACCAGCTTTCCTGGCACAACCAGCAACCGGCTGCTTCTGCAAAGACACAATTTGTACAAAACCAGCCCCAATGCTGCGCTTTGGCAGCAGCCGCTTTGGCAGCACCCGGTAGTTTTGCACCCGCGCAAAATCGTATCTCTATGGTAGATCACAGTGCCAAGTGTTACAGGAGGAGAACCAAAAATAAGAGCGCTCGACTGGCGTGGGATGGGTGAGCTGGGATGCAGCCTGCATCTGCCCGGCTTGTGGGCTGCTTCCCCCAAACATCAGTCATGGTGCGTGGGGAAAGCTCCAGTGGCAGCGAGGCGGATTGAATTTATCACGCTGCAAATCTGATTTTGCAAAGCTGGCAGCAGCCGGCAGCGCTGTAAGGATTAAGTGAGAATGTCGCAAATATTTTATTTTATCTCTCCCCGCCCCGGCTCCACGTAAAGCTTCGGGAAGAGGAGAAACGTTGCATTGCTCTGCACGTGCTGTCGCCCAAGGCATTTGCAGCCTCCTCTATTTCTGCTTTCATCCCTTCTCCTTTCAGAGAATGAACAGTTTTTCCTTTTAATTTTTTCCTAGATGGCAGATACTCCCTGTGTTGTATTTTTAGGTGGCCACTTGCAGAGGCAAAGATGTAGGGATTAATATATAAATATGCAGGAGGTACCGCCGTCTGCTCTTCCTCTGCCCCAGGGTACCAAACCTTATTGGCTTTGTGCAGCTCAAAATTCACCTGATAATTATCCTTCGGAAATCTGTTTGGTACTTGAAAGGGAAGTTGGTTAGAAAGAGCCAAGGCGATGGGTGTTAGCGCTGCTCTGGTGTCAAGGTCTCCTGGTTTCTCCATCTGTGTTTCTCATTTTTTCCTTATCGTATGTGTGATCGGCTTTCCAGCACTCTGCAAGGACTCATCTCCTTCTCTTCCTCATCCTTCCAATGCCTGGTGTTGGCTGAGCCCCTCGTTAGCGGGTTTGCTGAGCTAGATGAGGTTTGGGGGGGCTTTAGTGGGGGGTCCTGAGCAGGTTCCCTGGGGTTTATGCTCCCAAGCAGCAAGAAGTCCGTGTGCCCGAGTTTGCTGCTGATGCTCAACCTGACGGTTCAAGCTCAAGCATGCAAATAGTGGAAAAAGAGGGATTTCCGCAAAAGTTGAGCCGTTTCTGTTGAAATATTTGCTTGGGGAAACATCTGATGCTGAGACCTCCATAAAGCAAAGCCAGGGCTTGACTGCAACCGGCCAGATATGCTTTTACATCCCTGACCTTGTTTCTGACGGACTTTCCTTGATGGTTTAAAGCGCTTTGCAGCTGCAGAAGCCCTCGTGGTTAATGAAACATCCAAATAATCACCGTAACGATGAACCAAACCCCAACCGCATCCCCTAGAGACCTTTACAACCACCATTGACATGTCTGCAGCGCTGTCTCGTGGAGGAAACGAGATGGAAAAACTCATCTGACAGTGATGGCATTGCAAGGACGGGGTCAGGGAGGCAGGAGGGAGCAAGCTGGCGGCACTTTGGGGTAAAGTGGCCCCAAATCCTATTTTCTGACAGCAATTCCCAAGCCTTTGGTCCCAAGCAACCTCTGAAGTATTCCCTGGGGGATGCTCAGGGTTCAGCTGCCCGTAAGGATTAAAAATGGGAATGATGACAGTTCTCCCAGACAGGGGCTCTGACGGGAAAGAAAAAATGTAATAAAGAGTCTGGGCTGCTTAGAGGAGCTGGTATGATAGACAATAGAAATGCTGGAGATAGATGGAAACATACAAACATCCTGAAAATAATTAGACCATTATTTCATATTAAAATATAGTGTAATTATCTAATAATTGTATTACTAAGCAGAAAATTGTCCTAACATTTTAATAACTGCTTCCCTTTTTCTTTTCCTTTTTTTTTTTTCCCTTCGGCTTGACAAGAACATTCGATGCAAAATCGAAGGGGGAAGAGTGGGGAGCAGAGAATAGGGTTTCGTGGCCACGTTAGCTCAGAGGACAGCCGCTGTCTTGATCAGCACAGGGAGTGCTGCTGCCTTCTTCCAGCGCTGCGTCTATCGTGCTCCAATCACTCATTTCCGTGCAGACTGGTCAGATGTTCTGTGTTCTCTACCCAGTAGGTTTGTGTGTGTTCCTGTCTTTGAATTTTGGGGTTTTTTTGGCCACCACTGCATCTTTTTTTTGCATCCAGAACACAGCTCCCCAAAAGCCAGTTTGATTTCTTGCAAGTCTGCTCAGCTTTGAGCCAAACCCTCCCCCATGGTGCGTTTCTACAGCAGGGTTTGGATAACCTAAAATAAAACCTTCCTTCCGAGCAAGCGAATGCAAAGCAGAAAAGCAACCCCGTGCTGCGGCGCCGTACCATGGGTCCCTCCGCGTCGTCTTCTCTCCTCCGCATAGGTTCGGTCTCCGTAGGGGCTGCAGCCAAACCTCCACCCACCGCTTCTCAGCCGGGAAGAAAAATGACATGTCAGTCGTGGCTTTGCCTTTCAGCAAAAAACCCCTTGCCAATCTCTTTCATTTTTTATTAGTACGAACAAGTCTGCATTCAAATGGAAACGCAGAGTGCCGGCGCGGGATGTTGCTGCAATGCTCCAGGGTGTCTGCAAGGTGCTGGCGGATGTTTGGCCCCGTGCGGGGGGTTTTGCAGTGCTGGGCACAAAAGGTGTCGCTGAGAGCTGAAGCGCTGGGAAGCCGCTGCCCCCCTCGGCTCGGCCACGCAGGTCCTGGCTGTGCCGGCGAGAAGCAGGCTCTGGACAGCAAGGCTGATGAGTTTATCTGCTCAGATTTCTCCTCGCAAAGCGCCTCTGTGGGCCTGCTCTGCCCGTCTCCCTGAGATGCTGCATCCTATTAGAGAGGTTTATTTTTTCTCTGGGCAGATTTCCCATCTGTACAAAATCGAGTGTTGCAGTTTGCGAGGGATGGTTGTTCGCGGGAGGTGAGGAAGAGGAGCACGTCCCTCTGGGAGCATCCTGCACTTACTGCTGCAGTGGGTGACAAACCACCACGGGGTTTTCAAGTCCTAATTTTTCATGGGGAATTGGCTGTTGGGTGAGGATTTAAGGGTGGATGTCCTGTGTTAGGGAAAGGTTTTGCTCCCTGTGCACAGGGGTAGCACCAGGAATGGGGCCGTTTGCCTGCAGAAGGCGTTGGGTTGGGAAGACTTAATGATATCTGGTCTGCAAAATAAAACGATCCACTGTTGCTCTCCTTTCAGGTGGAAGTGCTTTGCAGCTTAGGGTTGCCCAGCTCCGTGCAGGAGAGACCCGATGCCCGTGCGGCTGCGTTTCCTTCCACCTTTGCCACCATGTTTAGTGTTCTAAATCCACCGTATTTCGTGGGCTTGGCGCTAAAGCACGCAGCGTTACGCCAGATGCCCTGTGCTGACGTGGGTAGTGCCATTTGCTGAGGTTTGAATATTTGATTGTGTTTTGGGGGGGGGGGGGGGGGGTAGATACAATAGCATTTGAGTCTGAGGTTGCAGCGGGGCGGCTGGGAGCGTATCGGTTATTGAATAGATCTTGCATCTGAGGCAGTGTAGCCATCTAGTAATTGCATCTGGAAATCTGGAGTCTGCCTGAATAACTGACATTACACAATTGTTTCCACCCGCGGGGAGATGAGATTAATAACAAGCGCAAATATTTGTGAAGCGTCTTTCATCCCGGAGTTTCTTTATCTAGTTTGTTAAGTAATAAGGACACGACAGGTGAGGGATGCGTAACCACGAGGATGCGGAGTCTCTGCTGGGTGTTTTGTTGCACGGTGATTCCCCATCCTGAGCACAGAGGGATTTAGCGCAGCGTCAGTCCCGGGGGAGTTTGCAACCACGTCGGGGCAGATGCCCTGGACTGAGGTGGGTCAAACACTTGCAGCGCGGCTCCCGGTTGTTCCTACCCAAGAAGCGAAAGGCTTCTCCGTAGGGAAAAACCTGCCTTTCTGCCAGGATTGCGTGGCAACAGCGCGGGTGCGAAAACACCGTCCCTCAAGCAGGTTTCCCAGCGAAGCCTGGCCTCGTCGCGCTGACCCCAAACACCTCGTGTCTGGATGAGGGAGAGGAGGCTGAGCCCTGCACGCCCGAAATGCTGGGGACAAAGGCACTGCAAGCAGCTGCTTTTTTATTGCTTTGACACAAAGCAGTGACCATCCCCACGCTCGGCAAAGCGCCTTCATCAAGCAGGAAACTGCCGGGTTCTCACTGGCATTTCCCCGCAGCACCACTACAGCACAGCACCTCTCCTTTCTCAAAGCAGTTTGGGATTTCCTTCGAGCACAGTCAAAAGGGACGTGCTGCCCACCACCGAATTCGAGCTTCACTGGCAGCTTTGCAAACTCCCCTGCCTCCTGCCCAGCGCCAACCCCCCGGGCATGCTCGGTTTTAAAAGCCAGACGGAGGCGAAACAGGATCAAGCTCTGTTAGCTGCTGCTAAGGAAGTGCAGAGCTCCCTCCTGCATTCATCACATTTGCCAAAACCCCTGGGGTGGGATGGGACAACTCTGCAGATGCAGATTTGAGGCACCTCTGTGACTTTATGATCCTGGCACTGGTTTAGAGCTGGAGAGTGAAGGGGGAGAACAAAAATCGCCTGAAATTCAGGGCTAGTGGCCCGAGACCTGGCGCGCTCAGTGCATGGCTTGTTCCCGCTGGACCGCTGAGGAATTAAGAATAAGTTAAGGAAAAAATTAAGAAAGCCGTTGAATAAGCCAAATATCTCACCAGAGGCCCTCCAGCTCCTGCGGTGGCTTGTGCCAGCTCCAGGGGAGCACCATGATCGCCCCAAAACCTGATTCTCCTGCATCTCCCAGCCCCCAAACCGGCTCTAATTCATCTTATTTTTTATTTATCACCACAGGAATTTCAAGCCCTTTCTTTTTTCCAGAGGACAGGGTGCAAAAACATGTAATTTATTTTTTGACAGGCTGCATTCCTATCTAGTGGGTACTGGGGGGAATTAATCCCAGTTAATATTCATCAGATCAGAGGCTGCTGTTGGGAGCGGGGGCACAAGCCAGCCTCGCTGAGTGACCCCTTATCTGTCCCCACCCCCTGCTTTCGAGCCCCTGCTGGGAAACCAATGCTTCTCTGTGCTGGGTACCCAGTAGCATCGTAGGGGCTTTGCTGTGCTCGGTGAAGCTTGATTTTTCAGGAATACAAAAAACCTGCTCTGGTGATTTCTTGCTGCTGTATCAGCAGTGCTGTGGGTCGGCTGGCGCGGGCGCTGCTGGCCCTGACCCCGGGCTCCTTTCGCTTTCCCCTTTGCTTTCCCATCCTCCCAATTACATCCCAGCAGAGCGAGATTTCCCAGCGCCGGGCGCAGGTCTGAGTCCTGCTCTGCAAACCCCAGAAGTCCATTAAGTCAAGATTAAAAAAAAAAAACAAAACCAAGCCTGGTGCTATATTAGGGTGTAAATGACTAATTAATCTGTCTGTGTGCTGATGTAATTTGTCCTCTCCAGAGGGTTTCTTTCTGCAGTAATTGCCTCTCAGGGAAGGCATGGGGTCGCTGAGCTGGCAAATCTGTTCTGATATTCAGCTGGTTTGTCCAGCCTGGGAGTTCAGGCTTGCAAGCAGTGAATAATTTTCCAAGCCAGTTTTTTCTCCTGCAAATAACAGGGGGTTGGGGAGATATTAACGGGTCTCGGCTGCACACCAGCAATTTCAGGAGCCGCCGTGGTGAAGGAAGGTTCACAGATTCAGTGTTTCTTCTGCAGCTCCTGCTGGCAAATCGATGGATCTTAAGCCACCCAATATCATTTGAGAACCCATCTGGAAATAAAAAAGGGAGTCTAAAGGAGATCCCGGTGTGATTGCCCAGCGCCGCGGGCTGGGCTGCAGCGTGGGTGCTGCTGGAGGGCGGGGAGGGGATCCTTTGATGAGCAAAAGCAGCGAGTTAGTCTGGGAGCTGCAGGAGGTTAGTCCCAGCGTATGTCACTTTTACAGCCGCTTTAGAGTGAAGGATGCTTTGCAGAGAAAGGGAAAGGGCTTTGCATTAAACAGCTCCCGTGCGGCACAGCCTGTCTGCACCCCGAGCTCGTGGCAGGGCTCTCACCCTTCTTCTCAGGGTCTGCAGGGTTTTCGGCTTAGCTCACTTGATGTTTTGAGATCAGAGGTGATTTTTTTTTTTTTTCTGATTCTGCAACTAATCCAGGATCTTCACCTTCAGCTGCGTTCCCACTTGCCCATCATCACGGAACTCCATCCCTCTGTCCAAAGTTTGCTGACGGTGTGGGTGAGTGGTGGTGCTCAGAAAGGAATCCAGGTCCCAAGGAGAGAGAAAATGTCAACAGTTGATCTGATGATGCTCCATTATACAACTTCAGGATGTCCAGGGTTGTTTGGTTTTTTTTTTTCCTCTATGTGTGGCTGCAAATTAGCCTGGACTCACCGTGGGCACTGCTGGGCTCTCACTTTTCTTGCAAGATTGGGAAAACCAGAATTTTCTGTCTCTCTCTTTCCAGTGAATGAATTCCCAAGGAGAGTGTCAAGCCGGGAGAGGATATATGATGTGCTCTGGCACCGATATGTCCAAAACCAAAGGACGTGGCAGATTTTATAGTGCCCAAGCGAGGTGTTTGGCCCCCACATCTGCAGGATGCTGAGCAGCAGCATCATGGCTTTTCCTGAGCAGACTTTACCCGCTGCCAGCCTTGACTCCTGAGTTTCCTGCTGTTGTTGCAGGGTTCAGAATAACACTCCTTAGAGGATTACCTTCTTTTTATTTTTTCAGAGCAGTTGTGCCCAGGCTGAAATAGATCCTGATGGAAGA